CAAAAAAAAAAAAAAAAGATTCTGATTCTGAATCAACTCAAAAAATGCTCATGTTTTGCCCCCAACAGTTGAGAAAAGTCCTTTTCTTCCTAGTTGTTACAGTTTTGCCATCTATAAATGCAGTGGTTTGTTCAAAATTCATTGTTTGAATATTAACTCAGTATGTATGAAAGTTCTGCTAGTGGATTGAGTTCTAGAGACTGGCACAGTGAGGGCATGTTTTCCAGTGGAGAGACTGTTGCGAGTTGTGCATCTGATTTTTTCCGGCCTGTGTACTTCGGCTGTTATGAGAAGAGCTGTACTGTCGGTGGAATGAATTCTAGAGACAGGCACAGTGAGGGCATGTTTTCCAGCGGAGTATCAGTATAGCCGTTATCAGAAGAGCTGTACTGTCGGTGGAGTGAGTTCTAGAGACCGGCACAGTGAGGGCATGTTTTCCCGTGTAGTATAGCTGTTATCAGAAGACCTTTACTGTCGGTGGCTTTATCATGAGCTTCAGTAGAACCAGGAGGCATGTGACTCCGGATCACGCCGGATTCATTCCGAGCTGGGGAGAAATTCAATTAGCAGAGATTGCGATCTGCTACAACCTGGAAAACCAACCGACGGTCGGACATACAAGCTCGGCAAACACAAAGTCGGGCGTCTTCGGTTCGCCGTGAGTTTTTTCCGGTCAGCCCGGGTTCACGATCGGACTTGGGGGAGAGTGCTTGCATCTAGGGGGGGTCTGTGGGCAAATTTTGTGGGATTCAAGGGGTTTACCCGACTGGCCTGTAGGTGTTAGGAATCACTTCCTTTAATGTGTTTAAGTTTGTACTTTTTAGGTGACCTTTTTAACATGCAATTCTGCCTATGACTTCTATGTATTTGAGTGAATAAACCTTTCATTTATTCAAATAACTGACCTACTAACAGGCAAATCATGTGGTTGTTGGTGGTGTGTTGGATGTTTTTACCCAAGATTGTTGTCAAAAATTTTTCAGTCACACCACAAAGCTTCTGAAATTGAAGGAAATGAGCGCTGCGTTCTGGTTTTGTGAGAGTTAAATCTTTCGTTGTTCCCCTTCCATAGCTACAGGCTACTTTCTTTAGCTGCACAAATAAAACACAGTCACAAAACGTTGAGATTTGTCGGAAATTGACAGAAAAACGGGTGCTGGCTAGAGCCCTGTGTTATGACTTGGTGTGACGTTCTGGTTTTGTGAGAGTTAAATCTTTCGTTGTTCCCCTTCCATAGCTACAGGCTAGTTTAGCTGCACAAATAAGCGGCGTACTGAGATGACGTCATGGTTTCCAGAGGTGGGTCGTTGTGACCAGGTGTCGTTTCGTGTGTTCGCTCAGCCGTGAGCGCCTCGGGCACCGCACACAAGTAACAATCCTGATGGCATGTCCGCTGCCACGTTACACCATTACCTAATCTTCAACCAGATCTGTAACTGGCTACAACATAGTATCATATTGGTAGGGCAGTATGCTAGTATCAAATGGTCAGGGCAGGATAAAATACACCACTGTTAGGTTGGTAAAAAAGGTGCTTATATAGAAACGTTACAGAAAGCCTGATAAAAATGCCTAAAAGACACTGCCATGTTACACCATTACCTAATCTACAAGCAGATCTGTAACTGGCTACAACATAGTATCACATTGCCTGGACAGTATCAAATGGGCAGTGCAGCATCAAATACACGACTGTTAAGGTTGGCAAAAAAAAAAGGTGCTGTCCTGATGGTATGTCCGCTGCCACGTTACACCATTACCCATATAATCTCAGAGCAGATCTTTTACTGGCTACAATACAGTATCAATTGGCAGGGTAGTATTCAATACAACACTGTTTGGTGTCTATATAAGTTATATATTTCACTTTCCTCAGAGCTTCTGACTGATATACCGTAGGTGTTTGGCTGGCAAAGAAAATGTGCTGACACAGAAAAGTGATAAAAAGGCCTAATAGACAACCGAAATAAGCTGACTCCTAAACCTCTGCTTGGAGAGTAGTCACTGACGTTAATACCTGTATAGTGTAATGCCTGTATAATATAATGTCTAAGTGTATAGTTTGATGCCTGTATAGTACTAAGTGTACTGCCTGTATACAGCGAGCCATCCAGTCAGCCATGCATGTAAGGAAAGGCAAGGCAGATCCAGCGATGGTTGGGAGGGGGAGAAATCCGGGGTCGTGGCCAGTGGCAGCACGGATCATCGGACATTTGTTTGGGGTGCTTCCTTCCACCACCCAAGCTTAGCAGACCATGTAATTCCCCTACAATTGTGTCTCTCACCTTCAAACAAGTATCTTACAAATCGGGGGGACAAATCTAGCTGGTCAAACAAGCCGGGAGCTTTCTGTCCGGAAATAAAATATCGCCCCGGTCGGGGTTCAAACACGGTGCTGCGTTGTTCGTAGCGCGCAAATCGCTGTTCTGCCCATTGATCAATAAAATGTGGTGGCTGCTTCAGATGGTTTTTGCCCGGCGGAGTGAAATAATACAGCCTGGCAGGACTGTGCGCTAACTGAGCCCTGGGGAGACACTCGGAAAAAAAAAACACGTCTGCCCCTCTGCGGAGGCCGGCTACTTAACGCTGCGCACTCCGGTTGTGAGTTTACATCGGCAAAATCAGAGAGGGGGGGGCACAAGGTCATTGCTGTGACCTAACATTCTCGGTACAGTGTTTGAGCCGCTTGTACACACACGATTTCCTGCGCACGCACACACGATTTGCCTCCATGGATGAGCCACACTCTTCTACTGTTCTGATCGTACAACGGCAATTCAGGGGGGGGGGACACATCCACAAGGTCATTGCTGTGACCTCAACGTTCTCTGTACAGTGTTTGAGCCGCTTGTACACACACGATTTCCTGCTCACGCACACACGATTTCACTCCGTGAATGAGCCACACTGTCCCACCATTTCCACATGCATTATCCTCATATTATAAGCTCCATCTGTTCTTACATTCACAACTGTTTTAAGAAGTGAGAAGAAGCAGAACCTAGTTTTACGATAGATATATGTTAGTCTACCATCGCTGTTTACCATGACCTGTACTAAGTTCGCAATGAGCAAAAATGTACAATAAATTCTTTCATTCATTCATTGTCACTGTCTCCACTCAACTGTATGTATGCGTGTCACTGACACGGGGTGACCTCTGACCTAACGGGTCATGTTCTGTTCTCTTTTTCTGCAGATAGAGGACGCCATGCTGATGTTCGACAAGCAGACCAATAGGCATAGAGGTGAGCAACCAAAACAACACCACACAAATAAACCATGTTTACATCACAACAAGGTCAAACCTGGAGGTCACTCACACAGGGGGGAGGGGGGCAGAGTGTTCCATAGCTGAATAATTTTTCAGCTTCCTCAGACACGGAATTAACCAGCCCGAAACCACAGATAAACCAGAAACATTTACCACAAAGCAATACTGTTTACATCACAACAAGGTCAACCTCAGAGGTCATTCACACAAGGGGGAGGGGGCAGAGTGTTCTATAGCTGTGACCTGAATAATTTCCCTGCTTCAACAGACACAGAAACAACCTCTAATAAATCACAAACCCGTATTGTTTACATCACAACAAGGTCAACCTCAGAGGTCACTCACACAAGGGGGAGGGGGGCAGGGTGTTCTATAGCTGTGACCTGAATAATTTCTCTGCTTCAATAGACACAGAAATAACCAGCTCGAAACTCCGAACCCATACTGTTTACATCACAACAAGGTCAACCCTTGGAGGTCACTTACACAAAGGGGGAGGTGGGCAGGGTGTTCCATAGCAGTGACCTGGATAATTCACAGAAATACCCAGCTCCAAACCACAAATAAAGTGTCTACATCACAACAAGGTCAACCCTGGAGGTCACTGACACAAGGGGGAGGGGGGAGAGTGTTCTATATAGCTGTGACCTGGATAATTTCCACAGACACTGAAATAACCAGCCCGAAACCACAAATAACCCACAAACCAAAACTGTTTACATCCCTTCAAGGTCAAGCCTAGAGGTCACCCACACGGAGTGCAGTGTTCCATAGATGTGACCTTGATAATGATATAAGAAATGATCTTATGATTTTCTTGGTTTTGTAGTTGAGAAGTGAGAGCATTTTAGGTCAAGCAGAACAGAGTGAAGGTCACCTAGAGTTGACTGTTTGGGATTTTGTTGTTTTGATGCAAAACATGTCAACATCCGAACTGTCACACCTGAAAAAGCAACACCTGGGCGGAGGAAGGAAGGGGTTCTCTTGGGAACTTTCAAGAACAGGTTTCAAACCTGCCCTCTAAGCAGTTGTCGGTCTGTGATTTTCATGTGATTTTCAAGTTTCTGCCTATGTCTATGTGTGTGTGGGGAAAGTTGTTTTATTCTTAGTATCCCAACGTTTGTTGAAAGAAATACAATAATTTACTTTAGAAATAAAGTCATTGTTATTGAGCGGAAGTAGCTAAATTAGGTTATGGTACAAGAACAAGGGACGTAAAATGATAAACATATTAGGATTACTCGCCAGAAATCAAAGGCCATAATGAGATAGAGGACATGATTAGGGTTGATTGACAATCAATGTATCCCTGACATGCAGGTCACTGACCCCGTGTGCCAGAACTAGGGCAACAGTCTGACTTGATAGGTCCCATGTCTGGGGTTGCTTTCAGTGTTGTAATTGTGCCAAGTTGTGGCAGGGAATTTTATAAACTCTCCAAGCAGATCTAGTTAGGTTTTGACTTATTTTTTAAACGTTTTTGTGAGTTTTTATTAGATTTTTATGTACTGACTTGATAGGTGCCATGTCTGGGTTGCTTTCACTGTTGTAATTGTGCCAAGTTGTGGGGAAATATTATAAACTCTCCAAGCAGAAGTTTAGGTTTCGACTTTATTTTTGACATGTTTGTAGGCATTTTTTATCGGGCTTTATTTTTTATGTGCCGGTATATTTTTTTCTGGTGTAGCCTAGCCTGCACTTTCCAGTCTCTTGTGCCAAGGTGTGGTGGAAAATGTCATAGACACAGGGGAGGTTTAGGTTTCGGCTTTTTTTTTACGTTATGTTATCTGTATTTGGCAAATTATGTTCTGATGTCTACAAAATTACACTTTGCATTATGACTTACTGGTCTCCTTCTGTGATAACTTTTGTTTGTAATGACATGATGATTGACTGTTGAGCCCGGTCTTGTGTCGGGTCGGTTTGTTTCCGGTTGGTTTTTATCCCTCGGATTTGGAGTCATCCCCCACCTGCAAGTTTGGTCTCAGAAAACTGTGCCTTTCTGTCAGAAAACTGTTGTTCTGTCAAGGCTGTGTGTCTGGTGTTCAAAAGGCCTCAGGCCACAGCAGCTATTTCTGTAATATGTGAGGATGTATCCATTTCTCTCTACTTTGTTTACAACAACTGAGAATAAACATTTTGGTTTGACCATCTTCTATCGGTGCTTATAGCTAACAAGATACTCATGGCATGGGTTATATGCGTCAATCAGGCCAAAATAATGTATTTCTGAGGCTCTTGGGGTCTTTTGTGTCAAAATTCTGTTAGAAACTTTGATTCTACGGTATTTTACAACCTAAAAGTAAAACTTACAGTAGACCAAGGTACAGACCTTCCCCTCAAGACTATATATTAAATCTAAGAACCAACGAATAGTCTTGTTGTGGCCTAAGACTGCGGCAGGATCTGTAATGTATAAGTACAGGAAGTTGTGGGAAGTCAGAGTGAGTGGGAAGAGCTTTGATGCAGGCTGATGGCTCGTTAGAAACCTCGGCCAGAAGGGGCAAATCCTGCAGGACGTGAACTTGTGTACGCCTCTTCCTGAAGTTCAAGGTCAACCTGGGGCAACGACCTTCACCAGGTCGTAACGTGACACCGACCTTTTGTAGGCACGAGCAGTGAAAGTAGTCGGGAAGGTTTGAGTCTTGTTCTTAACAGGAAGTTAGTTAAAGTATTGTGGACTGGCCGAGGTTATTTTGACAGGAACAGTTTGGTATAAACCTTTTTTGTTCAGGCCTCTTGGTTCCGAGTCGAGCACTCTGCCATTGCGCCACACGACCCCTTTCCCTACCCTCCTTTTCAACCGTCTTTCTACTGTGGTTGTTTTCAGCGACATAAGTTTGCAAAGGAAACAATCGTTGGCTGACAGCTGTGTGTGTTTAACATAAAACAGCCCGGAGGAAATATAACGGCACAGGGCAAACATGCAGCACCCTGGTTCTACCTGCAAATCTGTTCAATAGAAACAACGAAAGACAACACAAGGCTTGGGCCACACCAATCTCATTTGTGGGTCCTCGGATATAGAAAAAAATATTAAAAGAATGTAAGGTTTATTCGTCAAAACACATAACAGCCATAGGCTGAATGTGCACTTAAAAACTTAAAACAAAAAACACAATTGAAAATTGCGGGCCAGTCTGGTATGTACAAATCTCAACATTCTACAACTATACATAGATTTTGCTATCACTGGTACTGCTTGTTTAACAGATAAACTGGAAGAACGTCTGAAAACAAAGCCAGAGGACATATTTTTATGACTCAGTGCATTGAGGTTTTATGACTCATTTTTATGGAGTGAATTTTATACAGTCATATTCAAGTCTTCCTCCCAGCCCTGTGCTTTTATGATGTCCGCTTGCTGTATTTTTACCATAAAATGTCCGAAAACCACGGATATAACTTGGTGTTGTCTAAGCACGATACACAAGATCGTTGCAGGAATTCAAGCTTTAAGGACAACGCTTTTTGTATTTTGGCAGGAACACATTATTCCAATATTTTATAACTAGACATGGTGACGGCACACGCAAGTCATATCAACTTATTTTATACCACCACCAACACAGAGGACAATTCAGGTCAGGAATATCTGTATCTGTATAGCTTGTATAACCGCCCTTCGGCGCAACACACCAGCTTCGCAGGAACGCGGCGCGGCGGCAGCTGGCTATGTCACACCGAATGGCTTGTTACACTCAATCTCTGCACATTTAGTAGCAGGAGCTGTTTAAAGCTTTCTAGTGATGATGCTCCAACTGTGCTTGGTGGCAACGAGTTCCAGTCTACGATAGTTCTGGGGAAATACGAGCTCAGGACAACACTGTTTTGTGTAGGCAGGGACGTTGAAACACAACCTCAGCACAACACTTAGTGCAGGCAGAAACAACAGGCTAAGTATGACACACAGGGAACAGACGTGAGCTGTTTTTGGCTGCGCTCCTATAACAATGACATGTAACACAACTCGTCAGCCTGCTGCACCCCCAGAAAGGCTCTCACTGCTCTCCCAGACAGACAGGAGTGAGAAATGGCCACAGGGCTGGCCTGTAGCCAAACATGTAGCCTTGCCACAAATGTAGCGGGTCAGGGAGGTAACCTGGGGTCGCCTGCACAAATCCAAACCAGGGGCTCGACGGCGAACAATTGTCGGCGTAATTCGGACCCAGGAATGACGGAAAGTTGATGCTGCTAATCAGGAACCTTTTCAGACCTGCCACAACGGCAGGAAAAACAGGCAGTTCTAAAACCCCCACGGAAACAACAGCGTAGTTTTAACGGGTCTGAACAGGAGCAGTTGGCGTTGTTTTCTTGTCGTTCAGAAACGAGAAAAATTTGTCAGGGGAAGGTGGAAAGTCTCCGAGGTGTTTTTTTGCCGGAGGTCGTTTAAGAGAGGTTAATATTTGTTTGTGGAGTGAGAGAGAAGGGTGGTGACAGATTTAAGAAATTGTGGCGACTTGTGGCGATTTCTGTGACGACTTGTGAGGTGGCAACAGGCAAGGTCACGGCAGACACGGGAAGGTCGCGTGGTTCATGTCAACGGAGGTCGTTGCATTCTGATGTCGTTAGAATTATGTCATCCGCGACACCGGTTAGATCAATCGTGCCTGAAGCTAGTCTGGTGATAATTCTCTCTCCTCTGGCCTCGGTTCTCGGAGTGGGGGAGAAAATTAGAGGGGACAAAACTGGAGATTTATGTTCGGGCCTAGGAAAAAAAATGTTGTTTCTTGTTTCCCGACCGACCCTAGAAAGAACTGACAAACCTAGCCTTTTTGGGGGGCTGACCACTTCAAGGGACATACATTTTTCCAGCTGACCAACCTTTTCTAGCTCCAAGATCTGACAATCAGTGACATTGAAAATATAATTAAGTGTCCTCTTGCAAGCTTTACTTTGTTAAACTGTATTGTATAACTAGGATCACTAGAGATCAGCAAAGTCTGAATAAAAAAAAAGAAAGAAAAAAAGTGG